AAAGTTGGGAATTCAGAGAAATTCACACATCTTGAAGGCATACAAAGTCCCAGACCACACTGGATGTGAGACCCTACTTGTGGAGCTGGGTCGCAGGGATCAATGGGGACTGCTGCTCACTTACCTTCTTCTCTGCAGTGTAGCAGCATCCCTGCCTGTGTTCCTAGATTCTGTGTCTGGGTTAGTGGTGGACTTCAACCTGCCATTTCTGGGGCTGGGGTATGAGGTAGCACAGGAGTTCATGGCCACCATGGCAGCCAAGGACCTGGTCCAACTTGTTCATGGTCCAACTCTCATGGGTGGCCACACATTGGATCTGGTGTTTGCCTTGGGGCGGCAGCAGCGTAATCTGGATTTGGGGAATGCTAACATCAGTCCCTTGCCATGGACAGATCATTCCCTTTTGGCCCTAGAGTTCAGTGCAGCTGCCCCTCACTGCAAGGAGGTGGGGCTTATTAGATCAGCCTGCCCCAGGTGCCTGATGAACCCAGTGCAGTTTCAGAGGGAGCTTGGTGTTTTTCACAAAGCTCTGGCATGTCATTTGGCAGATGCCCTTGCTGCTGCTTGGAACGAGCAGGTGATGGGGGAGCTGGGCTGAATTGTGCCTGTGCAGATTCTCAGTGCTTGTGGAGCTTTAGAGCACCATGGTTTACTGAGCAGCTCTGGAGATGAAATGACACAAGAGATGCCTAGACCATCGCTGGAGGAAGACAAAGAGTGAAGTCGATCGAGCACAGGTAAGAGCCTATATTAGAGCTTACCTTGTGGCAATAAGGGCAGCAAAGTGTACTTACTTCTCCGTCCTTATTGCATCTGCAGACAGCCACCCAGTAGCCCTGTTTCGAGTGACAAGGTCCCTCCTGGGTAAGGAGGAGCCAGGAGAGATCTTGCAGGGCCACTATGAGGAATATTTGCGGCATCTGTCAGATAGTCGCTCGACTTTACTCGGAGTTGGTCTCTGGCTGGGCAGATCTTTGGAAGTGACTGAGACATGTCTGAGCCTGTTGTCTTGGAGGAGTTTGAGCCAGCTGATCCTTAGGAAGTAGACAGGGTCCTCGTGGCTGTGAGTTCTGCCACCTGTGTTCTGGACCCATGGCCCTCATGGTTAGTTAAGGCCTCCTAGGAGGTGGAATGTGGCTTGGTCCAAACAGCAGCTAATGCCTCTTTGGGGGGGGGGGGAGTCACCTGCCTTGAAGGAAGTGGTGGTATGCCTCCTTTTCAAGAGGCCATCCTTGGACCCAATGTGTTAAACAAGTTTTCTTCAGTTTCCAAACTTCCCTTTTTGGGAAAGGTTGTTGAGAGAGAGAGGTTGGTGCTCAGCTTCAGAGGACCCTGGATGAAACAGATCATCTGGACCATTTTCAGTCTGGATTCAGGCAGGGGTATAGTACTGAGACGGCATTGTTCATGTCATGCTTGTTGATACCTTTCAGGTATCTCTCAGCAGCTTTTGATATCATCAACCATGGTATCCTTCTGGACCAGCTTTGGGGGCTGGGAGTTGGAACCACTGTTTTGCAGTGGTTCTCCTCCCTTCTCTGTGGCCGGTTTCAGTCAGTACTTGCGGGGGGGGGGGGAGGTTGAGCCCTAGGCCCC